AATCAGTTTTTCGCTGAGGCCAATATACCCAAGATCTTCCATTTTCGTTTAGCCATTTGTGAATAGAGCATAAAATGATTACAGCCAACTAATGACGCTGTCTAAAATGATTTATCTCGTTATGGCGTCGGGCAGCCGGGCGAGAGTTTACTTGCTGTTGCTGCAACAAAAGTCAACGTGAAAAAGAGCAACTTCTATTACGGCCATGGCCATAATTCAAACGTGTTTATGATGTATACGGCCGATTTGGTGCGTATCCTCTACAAGGCTGTCACTGTGTCTCGGTGTGTGTGTGTGCGTGTAAGCCTCGTTTCTTTGTATACTTCTTTAGGTCTTCAGGCAGCTTAAATTGCGATAGAAATCAACAAATATTCAAGCAGTTGGGGCTGTCGACAGAGAGCCATGATTGGAGTACGCAATGTTTTAATGCCAGCGTCGAGCGCTGTTTAATATGATGTCCCCACTATGCACATACGCACACTTAGGCAAATATATACTTATAGTAAATACTAAATGCACTAGCACAGACCCTGCTCGACTGCCTGTTGCAAAGCGTATTAACATGCTGACCAAACAGTCAAACTTTAGCGCGTCATACCCATATTTGTGTACCCTTCAGCTATTTGTTGAATCATCAAAACGAATGTATGTGGATTGAAATAAGTATATTGTTCTTGGAATGGATTGGAATGAGAATCTTTAACTAAAGCAAAAGATTTAGTTTCAATTATTTATTATATTCTGGTATTATTATTAAAAATATCTTAAGATTAATATATTTATATATATTTTTCTTGCCAATAGCGAACTAACTTATAGAGTATATAGCTGGCGGCAAGTATTATTTATTATTTCGTAGAGTAGATCTCTAGCTATATACAGATATATCCGCAGTGTGTGTGTGCTTATGCTTATATATAAATGACGACAGAGTGCATAGATGGCATTTGAATGTGGCGCTGGCTCAGGAGCTCAGAGAGTGGATGGAGAGCTTGCTTCTGGTCGTAGCAGTAGCATCTGTTACTAATGGATAGTAGTAGAAAACAAATGGACAGCGCACAGATTCGCACACAAACCAGACAGGCGGGGTATATATTTATATGTGTGACTGCCTGCGTGTGTAGGTGGTGCTTGGAATTGGAACAGCAACGTCAACAGCTCGTGCAAACATCTTTGTAGATTTTATTTCTAAATCTCATTACCAAATGGTGTCCCTCTGGGTGCCCAGCAGCACACGTGGTACGTGAAATGCTTCGTTACTATATAATATGTATGTAAGTGCGTGTGTGTGTGTGTATGTGTGAGTGTAACTTACTTATTTACCCACACACACACACAGCTCTATAAATGCAATAAACTGTAAGTGCGTTACGCCTCCTCCGTCTCCTCTCTCTCTCTCTCTCTCTATTCTCTCTCTCTCTCTCTCTGAACTTGCTGTTGTTTTTGGGCGATGCTCAAGTAAATTTCATATCATCTGTGGGCGGGCCCAGAGAGGCTGGGTCACTTGCTGTTGCCGTTCAGCCATCATCAATTCGAGGGATATCAGCTGTGGCAAATGTTTTTATAATCGGAGCTAAGAGAAACTTGCGTCACTGCCGTCAAATACTTAAAGTAAGAATGTTAAATCTACTATATCATTTAATTGCCACAGCAAAAATTGCTAGCAAAATTTTAGTTCAGCTCCATAAAGAGCCAGCAAACAAAAACAAAAGGAAAAGAGAGAGAGAGAGAGAGAGAGAGAGAGAAAGAGAAAAACACAGCATTTAATAGCACTTTTGCAATTTCCCTGCCAATTGAAATATTTTGCACTTTAGTGCCACATTAAATTTCATGTCGTGTTTTAGCCAACAACAGCAACAACAATTGCAGCAAAAGCAACACAAAAATCGCTTCAAAAAATCGCACGACAAAAACTTAATCGCTCGTGTAATGACTGCATTCGACTTTTGTAATTAGCAGACCGTCGTTCGAGAGGCGCCTCACACTACTGGCTGCCGGCTGCCGGCTCCTGCTTCAGTCCACTTCCCTATTCCTTCCCCTAACCCAGCAAATAAATATTAATTTTCTGGCTCTGCTGCCGCTCCCTAGTTCCAATACAGCAGCCTCTGCCGCTGCCGCTGCCACAGAGCTCGCACTCAGCCCTATCCCATTCGTCTGTTTGTTGCTTGCAGCACGAAATTTATGTGCAACGTACAACAAATTTTCACTTATTGCAAACAGCAGCAACAGCAACAACAACATGCTGTGAATTGGCCAACTAGAAGACATCCTGTGAAAGGAACAATTGATGCAGATCTGATTATTTTATATATATGTAATTTATGTCGATTATTGCGATGTTGGTTCATAAATCTGCTATCGATTAATATGAAAACGACTATAAAAGATGTCTTAGGATATTATCGATATCTCTGTCCATCATTGGATTTAGTTCGATACATTTTCAAGATCGGGGGGTTTGGTTTAGCAATTAGCTTCAACCTTTAAAATTTATTATTACGAATCCCATGAATTTATCGACGATTGCAAAATAAAATACGTCTGATACTAGGCTAGTGTAAAAATATCCAACAAAAATTTACAAAATTTGAGTCGCATCATAAATAATGGGGAAAATAAAATCAACAAGAAATGATATAAAAAACCTCGGTATTTATCGATATGTATTATAGCTAATATAAAACATAATAAATTTGTATGTACATACATATGTATATAGCTGTAGCTAGCTTATGAGGACTTCAGCAATCTTCTACTATTCTTCCTATACTTTTAGACATAGCATATCTATCTCCAACAATTACAGGGTATCACAGCAACAACAACAGCGCCAGCTGCTATGGACTAGCGGAATGTGTCGTGGCTGCGCGTCCCAAACGTCCAGTCGCAAATTCTACAAATGCGGGTTTGCTGGCGCTGCCCTTGGGGGATGTCAGAGCGGGCTGTCCGTGGGTATTTGGGTTGGGTTGGGGGATGGCGTCTGCAGTTTTACAGTTGGTTGTTTGTCCCGTTGCTGCATCGGCTGCTGCGTGACAAGAGCCCGCGCGAATGCTATAAATTTTGTATTTAATTTTCAATTCGTTTTAGTTTTATTGCCACAACAGGAGAAACCTATAGAAGCAGCAGCAGAAGTTCAAGACTTGGCTGGCCGCTTGCCAGCAGCAAATGTGGCAGCTGCCTCGCACTAGCTGCTCTCGAGCGTGGCTGCAACATCCGTTTGGGCCAAATGGCCCTAGTCAAGTGCTGCCATCGTTTTGTAATGTTGCACGTCCGATTTGATTACAAGTGTCATCTATTTGCAGGCAGCTGCGCCCCAGCAGCGGACCCAAAACAAAGATTTGGCGTCACCTAATGAAGTAATTTACTTCTGCCTCCTCCTCCTCCCATGCGACTAGCACCCGCTGTTGCGGCCTGCCGCATAAACTTAACAATTACTTAATTCGTGCACAGCTTTTTTGACCCACATCAAGTCGTTCGCAGTCCGAGCAGCCTGTGAAGTGTTCAAGTGACAGGTGGCATTAGGTTGGCTAGGCGAACTGTTAAATTAAATGCAAATGCGCTCATTACGGGCAGCACCACATGAGCTAGATTTATGGCCAGTTCTTCGCGCTAAATGATCCCACTCATCTGCGGACTTGATAGTGGATTGCAGTGTCCGAATCTTCTATCTTCTATGTACAGCAGAGTTATTAAGGTAAAGCTTTCTCTACTTATTTATATATTAAATCATTAACAAGTCTAGCTTTACATACATTTTTTTCTACATCTCTCTCTGTCTTTCTCTCTCTCTTCACAAAAAAACTCTTTCAATCTTGCTCATTATTTTCGATTTGCAAATTGTGGCAAAACCAAACGAATTGCGTGCGGGCATTAGTTAAATAGTTAAATTCATTTATCTCGTGCTGACTTTTGTGGCAGCCACGCCGCATCCAAAGCAGCAGCAGCAAAGCCAAAAGTGAAAATTTGTGCTTTTATCACGCAAGAAGCAGCAGCAGCAGGCGACCAAATCCTCCAATTCTCTTTTCTATGTACTCCCGGTTGTAGCTACTTGCGCAACAGTTGGCGAAAGTTGTTGAAAAAAAAAAAAAATATGTATATATATGTGTATTTTTTTAGAAAAAATGAAATGCTTGTGCAAAGATAAGCAAAGAGAAAGCAAAAAAATCGAAGAAAAACAAGCGACAGAAGACTAAAACTGAGACTGGGAAATACTCTGTATTTAGAGAGAAAATATAAAGGAAGATAACAACATCGTTAAAAGAGATCAAGACCAAGACCAAGACCGAAACCGAGACCAAAACTAAAACCAAGACCAAGACCAAGACCAAGACCAAGACCAAGACCAAGACCAAGACCAAGACCAAGACCAAGACCAAGACCAAGACCAAGACCAAGACCAAGACCAAGACCAAGACCAAGACCAAGACCAAGACCAAGACCAAGACCAAGACCAAGACCAAGACCAAGACCAAGACCAAGACCAAGACCAAGACCAAGACCAAGACCAAGACCAAGACCAAGACCAAGACCAAGACCAAGACCAAGACCAAGACCAAGACCAAGACCAAGACCAAGACCAAGACCAAGACCAAGACCAAGACCAAGACCAAGACCAAGACCAAGACCAAGACCAAGACCAAGACCAAGACCAAGACCAAGACCACGACCAAGACCAAGACTAAGACTAAGACTAAGACTAAGACCAAGACCAAGGCCAAGATCACAATCAAGACCAAGAACAAGAACAAGACCATGGTCATAGTGACCATGACCAAGACCAAGGCCACCACCATGACCAAGACCCAGAGCAAGACCAAGGTCAAGGCCAAAACCATGACTATTATTAAAACTATATATGTGTATTATAGACAATTTTATTTGTTATCGATGCGAAGCGAAGTGTGTTATCGTATTACAGTCCTGAATTTCTAAATTTTTAGAATGAAAAGCCTACGATTTAAAATGTATATGAAATATATTTAGTCAATGCTCAAGTAAATTTGGTTTTCTTGCTCAACACACAAAAAAATAAAAAAATACAAAATTACAAAATAAAAATTTGCATGTACATACATCTCCCTACACACCTTTGTGAAAAGTACAGGGTATACGAAGGATTAAAAAACGAAATCTACAAATACTGACAAGTATTTGAGGGGTGGGAGGGGGTACCAAAAACAAAATCGGAAGCGACTTTATTAAAGATGAGCACGGCGATGGCAGAGCTAAGATCGAGCTATAGCAATAAGTGGTCGCTGCTCCAGTGCGACAGTGGTGGGGTAGTTTGGCTCGTTGGTTCGTTGGCTCGTTAGTTGGTTGTTGTAAAAGTTTACATGAAAGATTTAAGCAGCTTAGCGCAAGTCAAAGTCGACTCATTGGCTGCGGCGTTTCCTACTGTCGCCATCCAGCTCCGGTCTGTCGAGGTAAAAGTTTTGTCGCTAGCTTAAAACGCTGCAGCTGCTGGCTTCTCTTGCAAAAAGTACTTGAGAACATATTTGCTATCAGTTGGCGTCCAGTTGTTGCCGCCAATCCACCCCGCTCGATGTTGTTTGTCTGCCTGGGTGCGGAGAGGAGGGAGAGACTGAAACCCCGTTGGCTCTTTGCGTGGCGCTGCTCTGTTTGTTTGTTGCTACTTTTTGGGGTAAGTTTTGGGCCGAGGCAATTTTTCGTGCCACATCGTGTCTAAATATCATTTCTGGGTGCTCCGTGCTGCGTGCTGCTTGCTGCGTGCTGCATGCGGTTGGCAGCGCTGCCAAGTGTTGCATCCGTTTCCTGTTGATAGTCAGTGGCATGTAAATAGAAGCTGCTTTTACTTGAATTTATTTGCGGCACATCACCAGGGACAGGCACAAGTACCTCTGGCATACTCCTGCCTGTGATACATCATCCTCTGTTCCCTCTTACCTCTGCCCTCTACCGCCAGCCCGTATCGTTTGCTGTTTAACAAAGTCAAACAATTTCATGCAATTAAAACCGTTTTTCATTAAAAATGCAAATTTCAAATGCAAAACGAACTCGAGTCACGTCAAGCATCAAGACATATATATATACATATATATACATACAACCGCACACACACACTGGAACCACGCTCAGCTCTTGGTTGAGTGTTTGTTTTCATGCAACTTGGTCGGAGTTCGGTTCTGGGGCAGGTACTTAACTTGATGTCACCAAACAAAAGCACTTTGTTTTAACATGTGCCCACGACACTGCAGCGCACCCCAGCTCTGCTGCTGCGCCACCTCTGCGTTTGGCCATGCAGTGCGTGTGTGTGTGTGTGTGTGTGCTTAAAAGCCGCTTGTCTTGTAAACAATCATAAAAAATAATAAAATGCCATAAAGTTGAAAATGTACCAAAACACTGTGCAAGACAATAGAGTGCGGGGGCAACGCAGCAGACAAAGGGAGCTGCTAACACTCTTTTCTTCTTTTTTTCTGTTATTATTTGTTGTAACTCCCCTAACAGAAGAAGTACACATGCCACAACTCCAGCGCTAACTGTCGAGCTCAAAACATTGTCTCTTGACTTGCTGCTAAAGATGTTGCCTTTGTTTTGTATGCCCTGTCCAACGTGAGTGAAAAAGAGAGAGAGGGGGGAGAGACACACACTCACACACGTAATATTTCTCCCTTTCCGAGCTGCACTTAAAATGCTTGTGACGTCTGTAACTGAGGCATTGTCAGGCTGCGTTTGGATTATTATTGCCTCCTCCTTTGTTGTTGCTAATGTGCTGCAGCTCAAGACGTTAGATTTGACAATTTTAAGCGGCTTTTCGGTTACATAAATTCATATCATATCATCAGGCGGTCCAGTGGTTGCAAGTGCACAGTGTCGAGTGTCCTTGAATCGGCTTGCGAGCAACAGTTGTTCGATCAAGAATCAAATATATATTTTAGACATGATAAGCATTCGATGTGACGATTTATAATGGTAAGAATATACCAGAGAGGGCCTTAAGAACTTAAAAAGTATTTATTTCAGATATTAAATAAAAGATAACTTTTATTTTCATTTGGAAAAGTATATATATTTGAAAAGACTGTCAAGATTTTGGATAATCTTCTTTTTCTTATACTTATTCTTCCTAATCTTTTAAGAATATATACGACTTTTAAAAGGTATTAAATAATTAAATGACTTTTTAAGCTTATGGTACGAACTTTTATTAAAATAATAAAATAAAAAAAAAAATAATTTATCATAATTTTATCATTCTTATAATATATGATTTTTACGTTAACCCACTTAATAAGGGTTGTGAATTTTTAATAAAATTCAATAATTAAAAATGTTGATAAAATTTTGCTAGATTGAAAGCTTCATATTTGATCAAAAATATCCAACATAACTACAGAAACTTTTAGAGAAAAAAGTTTCTCCATACGGTTTCCACGCTACTTACCTTTCATAATCAACAAAGGAGTTTTTTCTTAAAATTCTCTGTCTTAATCCGCTCACTTCTATCTGTCTAGGACTTTCGTCTGCAGCGCTTTGATTTGTTTTGCTTTAGGCTTTAACTTGTGGCTTGTCTTTTCTTTATTTTTTTTCTTGCAAAAATCCAGGTTCTTTTGCCTATTAAGTAGCTTTGGCTTGGTTAAAAGAGCCCTCTGCACATTTTCAGCTTGTTTGTAAAGTGGCTTTTCGAACTGACTGCCGACGCCTCACAGGTGTCTATATGTGTGGCTGTGTGTGTGTGCTGTGTATATGTGCTCTGGGTGTGTGTGTGTTTAATCTCTACCTGACATTAAGTCTGCGAACAATGGCAGCCAAAATGTCTCCAACTTTCGTAGAAGGCAGTGAAGCTGTTAGCTTGTTATGAGACGCCTCTTTACCTGCTAGCAGCATTTAGTAAAGTTTTTGCTAAAACTTAAATAAAGAGTGATGCGGGTGCAGGTGGAAGAGTTGGGAGAGAAGTCACAACTAAAAATCGATATAACGCTGTGAATTTAATTTTCAACTTGTCTGACATTTTGTAATTGAAAACACACACATCGATAGAGAGGTGAGAGAGAGAGAGATAGAGAGAGAGAGAGACAAAGAGATAGACAGAGAGACGGAGAGACATTGACACTTGACACAAAACGCCCAACAGCAACCGGAGCCGAGTCAAGTCGGGTTGAGTTGTGTCGTGTGGAGGAGGCGAGCCGGCAAAAGCTGCGTATGGCGCATTACTAATACGCAGTGTGTGACAACCACAAGAGACAATTTGGCAGCTGCCAAAGGGTTTGGCCCCAGCGCCCCGCCGATTGCCGATTGCAGCCGCTGCGTGTGAGAGAGTCTGGGCATAGGCGGTTGGTTGGACGGTTGGTCGGTTGGTCGGTTGGTTGGTCGGTCTGCTGGTCGGCTGAGACCGGAAAGACTGCTGCCGCTGCACTTCACACACATTTAAACAGCATTACACTGGGCGAAAAATATGCATAAGAGAGAATTGTGTATAATCTATTGACAATAAATAGCATATAAATTAATTAAGTTTGAAATTAGATATTAGTCAACAAGAAGCTTTAGAGGTCTGCATACACTTAGAGAAACAATGACTGCTGAGTGAAACAACCAGATGTCAAACTTTTTCTCTACCCTCATTAAGATAAGTAAATTCCAGTGAAGGATATCACAAATATAAACTTAATATTCTATATAGAGTATGACCTGTATAATTTCTGTATAACCAATAATTTGAAATTTATAGAAATTTGTTTGTATATTTATATTATTATGATATTCTTACTTAAACTTACTTACTAGACAACTTCTCAACTTTAAATTTCTTAAAAGACTATTTTTTTCTCCAAGTGCAATGTCCTTATCAAATCACACACACTCACATACACACACTCACATGGATGCCGGCACATGCACATTGAATCCACAGGCATTGTGGCTGTCTCGAAAAACCAAAAATCAAGAGGAGCTAAAGCAACAGCTAGATGGAGGGGAGTCAGCGAGGTAGAGAGGGCGGCGGCTTCGGGTCTTGCAGTTGACAGTGGGCTGGCGGGACGGGAGATTGGGAGGGGAAGGCCGCCGTTTGGTTGCTCGAGTGGCCGCAGGGCAATTGGATATAATTTCTAATTACACGCTTGGACGGACTTTTTACTGTCAGCTTAGTTTACTGATGTCTCTATATGTGTGCAGAGAGCGAGTATGTATATGGTCTATGTGTGTGTGTGTCTGCATGTGTGTGTGTTTTGTGTGTGTAATTTGCTTCATGTAGTATAAGCGTAATTTGGCATTTTGATTTTTAATTGTGCGTCCACACAAGCCGCTGGCACAGGAAAATAATTTTCTGCAGCCTTTAATTAAAGCAAGATCGGACATACATTTGAATATGTATAAATATATGTAAGTATATATATGTGTGTGTGTATATATAGTTTGTGAGATTTGTAATTGTCGAAATTACAAAACTACACATGAAATTTGCATATTATTATGCGCTGTTGCTGTTGCAAATACATCAAGCCGGAGGCGTCTGCAACGTTTGCCGTTCTGCCTCTTCTCTGCTTCTGTGCATCTCTGCGTCTACCACTTCTCTATTTTCGTTCGCCATAAATTGCTGTTGCAATTGCAATTGTCGCTCTTCACAGCTCGGCTCTGCTCTGCTCTGTCTGCTCTGTCTGCTCTCTGCTGGCGTTGTCAACACTTGAACACGCGCCAGAGACAGTCGAAAAGGCGCAAAGAAAAAGCCAGCCCCGAAAATTATGCAACAGATTCTGAAAATTTGGCGCACGAGCTGCACCACCACCAGCAGCAGCAGCAGCAACAACAACAACAACAACAATCAGCAACCAGTTTATTTTTGTGCAATTACACAATGAGATGAGCAGAGAAATAAAAACAAAACTCTTTCAGTTGCGCTTGACTGACTTTATAATACTCGTTTATGCTCGTAAATATAATAATTAAAATCTCTTGCCATAATACGTCAATTACATATTTATATGTATATATTAGATATAAAAAGATTTTAGGTTTTTTTTTTTCTAGAGGAGGTTAGCTTAGTGTTCTGAGCACTATATCATATTTTTTAAACAAATCTATGCATCACTATATATAATTATGTATTATATGGTTCTTCAATGTTGACAAAAAGATATAGTAATTTCGACTGCCAGATTCCGGAGGGTCCTCCATGAAAATCTTACCTGAAGGCTTGACGATACGAGGGACATTGCGGTAAACCAATATTCTCCTGTTCATTTTGTGAATATATAACAAAGATATAAGAAGCACCTAAGAACATGGTATCATCATATATGATATATGAACTATTATAATTATTATGTGGTCTTATGTCAACTACAGAGCTATCATACCATTACTATCATAGATTCTACGAAAATACTCTAGAGATATAATCTAAGACTTGGATCTTTAGCTAAGGATTAAGTTCTATGCCATACTTTTATCTCCAGCTCCAGCAATCTTTCTGATCTGCATTTAAATATTGAGTTAAATTCATATATACCTTACCTTACCACACATACTTTACTGGGTATATTAACAAGAATGTTGTTGCTGTGGCGCATTGGCGCTGACATCGCTGAGCGTCTGATGCTGCTTCAGCTTCAGCTGCGACTGTCAACTGTCACGAATTTTTTACTGCTGCTGGTGTTGCTACTGCTGCTGTTGTTGGTGAATGGTGCTGTTGTTGTTGCTGTTTCACGCCATTATATTCGCAATATGATTATTATGCGAATGCAAAAGTCACGTTTGGGCTGCCAGCCTGCCAAGTGCGAGTACGAAAATGGCATTGACACAAGTGCCACATGCAGCAGTAATAGCAGCAGCAGCAGCAGCAGCAGCAGCAGCAACACTAAGTAGCATCAACATCAAGAATGCAACTGCAGCACAGTCGACTAATTGGCTCATTTCTTTTGGTCAAGTCCCGATATATATGCATGTCTATGTATGCCACAATGGCTGTATATGTCTATATGTGTGGTGTGTGAGTTTGTATGCGCATATGGGCCACGCCTCCGCTTGGGGCCTAACGCTCAGTGTGCTTGAAAC